ATGTTTGGGCTGCGGGGCAGCCGCCGGCAGCTTGTCCTAGGGGTGAGGGGAGGCCAGAGGAGGCCATAGGAGCTCGGCTGCCTTTGGGGCACCTGTGCCTCCTTGTCTCCAGCCGCCAGCAGTGCTGTGTGAGCTCTGTTCGCAGCTACTCGATCGATAAGTAATTTGTGCAAGGGGCTTGTGTTGCAGGGGAGCAATAATGAACTCTCTGGAGGAGAGAGAAACAATACTATTAATGCTGAAATCATCCTGCAAGGAAATAACATTCAGTAGGCAGTCGAGTCCCCAGGGCACATCTCCGCTAACACCCTGCCCCTCGTGCGCCCCCCACCTCCGCTGGAGCTGCGGGCAAGGCAGCTAGAGGCCAGCTCGTGAGGCCCGCGGGGAGCTTGGTGAGACCAGGCGAGCGTGGTGGAAAGGCTTGGGCGGCCATGCGGAGGGGGTCGATCCAGTAGCTGTGCCTCCAAACACTGCTTGAATCTCAGTCGCAGAGTCTCAAACCCAATGTGGCTTTGTCAGGGGTCTGACAAAAAAAACTCGGCCACCCTCTTAGAGCTAAAGTTTGGGTGCGGCGGAGACGGTGTGCATGCAGATGGCCAAAAGGGCCTACCGCATCAGGTGGTTGTGTATCTTCCAAGCACCCTGCATGGAGGCCAGCAGCTGGGTCTGCCGCTGGCACGCGGATGTGTCAGGGAGGCATCTCTGAATTGAAACGTCTCCTTCCTCTTGGGGATTTTTTTTTTTTCCTGGTGAAGGATCACTTGTGCAGGTAGAAACGTGACCATCATTTCCAAACTGACTGCCTCTCCCATTAGCTCCCAGCTGAAGTTGTGCACTCCATCTTTCCTCCCCAAGGTTGGAGAGTCTCTTAATACTGGTGTTTTCTCTTGAGAGATGTGCTTAATTGTATGCTACAATCACTGAATCTTTGGTTGGAGTAGCAGAAACTCTTTGAGCTTTTGAAGGCTCTCTGGAAAATATTTCCAGGAGCTAAGGCATTGCAGGGACTCCAGTTTGCACCAATTCCCAGCTTGGCGTGGACCCGACCTTGTGCATCCAGGGACTCTGTAGGGAGCAGGAGTCCAAAATCTGACCTGGCCTTTCTGTGGTTAGACCAGGAGAATGGAGAAATGAGAGGGGACCCAGCATGAT